ATCTCAAATTCTTTTTGGCTTCCAGGTCCTGACGAAGGCGGTAACGCCGAAACGTTGACTGAATAAAGTGCTGTACCATCTTGGCTGAGGCTACACCACACACCTTCATACCGGAACTCACACGATGCCAAGATTCATAGAAAGTCGTTCATGGTCAATTAGAAGAGTGTTTTTAGAAAACTTTTTTCCAGACATTAGCTTTAGAAGCTTTCCGTATGTCAGAAAGCTTTTCGTTTGGCATACATTACAGCGGTATTTTTGAACACTTTTTCAGGAAGACCGAACGAATTCCATCTCTACTTGGAATTTTGAAAAAGTTTGAACATGGAGTGCCAGATGAAGTATTTCGGCACATTTGTTTTTTTTTTGCTTCCATTGTGGCAAGAAATTGCCGACGCTTTTCATGAAATATGCAGGTAGAACCTAAGGTGACCATGTCTTATTACAAATGCGCCACATTCGTAACGGTCCGATTTCCGATATAGGGACGGCTTTGGGCGAGAAATGATTACATCTACTCCACTGTTTGAAGCAGAAATTGAATCAAGTGCTTCATTGTCTCATCGAAGACATCACATCATAGAATCGAGACATTTGTGAGCGTAGTTCTTCTCATTAGCAACGTCTCAAATCTCATGATTATGAAGAGACAAGCACTTTAGAGTGCGCAGTGATCCCTTTACGAGCAACCTACAGGACAAAGCTCAATGCATTCGCAAGTACTGCTCTCGCACTACACATCTGTAAACCGCTCTACATAATACGTTTTCAAAATGGATTACGAGTCTTGGAAGTGCAAGAGCTCGAGTTTGAATTTTTGCGCACTATTGTTGAAAGGCAAGATTCAGGAAATAATCCAGTTGAGAAATCACCTTTGCTATCGGGAAGAAAGACATTTGGTGCTCTAAAAGATTTTCACTTGGAAAATTCATTCCAAAAAGAGCTATGATAGGAAACTAGGACAGGGGAACTTATCATGGGTTGGAGGTGACGTTGTTCTTCATATATAACATCTTATCAAGAGAGCTTTCCTCATACTCGCTCTCCTTGAACTTGAATAAAAAAAGGGGAGGGAGGTCGTAATAATAGTGATAATCCTAGGAGCCACGCCTTTCCTTGATGCCTGGGTCCCAAGTTCCTATGTGAACACAGAACTGAAAACGGGAAGTTTTCTTGAGCCGAATTTTCAAGTTTCAAGCAAATGAGCAGCCTTCTCTTTCTGATGGAATAAACTGAAATTTCTATTCGAGCAGAGCATTTTTCGATACAATGGTGTACCTTGCATCATTTACCTGAGTTGGATTCACTGATGCCTCAATGATTGAAGTTGGAAGAAACTCGTTGCGTGTCATCAACGGACAGTTCGGTGGCTAAACAGGAATAATAAGTGGTTTAATGAAACAAAACTAATGTAGGAACGTCGGAAAACCAACTTCTCGACCTTTTCAAGCTTTACGGTAACTGTGTCATTGTGAAAGCGAAAACAAAACTGGGTAGAGTGTAAAAGCTCGAAGTACCGTTACACCAAGACACTCGTTGTCACGTCGATCGCAGACTTGCACCTGACATTGGAATTGAACGTTACTGCGATCAGGGAAGACGAACGCTTCTACGACCATGTAAGCTGATGACAGGGATGGATCGTAGACTACTGGACGGAGTTGCACAGGCAACGCTTCGGGGCATCTGAACGAGTGGTATTTATAAAGAAGCGACTGATTAGACGAATCATGCTCATGAGTACGTCATCATAGGGGCCTTAAGTAAAAGATCCAGGAGTTGGGCCAGCTTCCCTCAATTGAAATAGGACATGGTTCGTCTTTGAAATTATGAACTTCAAGAAATCTGTTCCTCTCATTTTTTCAACATGTGAGCAGAAGTGGCTGGAGTACAGCCTGTTACGCTAAGGGCGCTACTAGCATAATTAGATTTATATCACCAAAAAACAATTAGTAAACAGCTGAAAGCGTTATTACCCATCTTGCGACGCAGCAGTTTGTCAGCAGATTAAACCGAGTTTATAATTCATGCTGTCAACTCACCCTCTGTCGTCTATGATCGGGATCGACAGTCCGGAATTGTCAATCGCGTTACAGTTCCGAACCAGGATTCCGTAACGTCCTGTAAAATATGAATATTAACAGAATCATGCCAGCAGGAGCCGGATGCACCTATCACTGGCCTGGACACTGCTGCGCTATTCAGGCAGGAGGTAAAAAGCGCACAGAGTGGCCGTAGCGTCAGGTATAGGGCTTACAAGAAAATAGCGCGTCGTACACCTCATCGACATTTTGACTATCCCCGTCTTCCGGACCTAGAGTCTATTCTAATCTGGTCAGGGAGCTCGATGCCTGGCTTGCTGTCATGCAGAGCCGTGGGAGCTGCTCCGGGCGTAGGTGCGGCTCAACAGGTGACAACGTATCATCGGAGGACCGTATACATATATGTGGTCAGTGCATCCAGTGGACGCGCCCGCGGGGAAAACAACAATTGAGTACCGTTTGTGCGGCAGTCCCATCGGTGAACGAGACTCGCACCAATTATGGACGTGCGAATCCTCGGACCATCCGGTGTTGCTTCTCGAATCGAATACTCGCATTCAGGCATCAACATAGCTTGTTGCTCAAGTGACTCGGATGGAAGGTTACTGGAATGAGAACTACCAAGGGGTAGTTTCTTTAAGCTGTTACAATACCGATTTTGCTTATCTGCTCACCTGACTTCCATATCTGTATTCACAGCTTTGTCGATATAAGCATAGAAACAACGCACATTGTAAGCTCGATCGACTTTTGTCATGAAATGTGGATGGAAATTTGTCACAAACGTCAACACGTAGTTCATACCATGGGGTTGAAGCTGTAAACCGATTAACGAAATTGATACTACGTCAATTCATCAGTCGAGTAGAGTAGGGGGAAAGTATCAAACCTGTCGAATGCGTCGCATTCCACAATCGCCAATTCTTGTGACAAATGTAGCACCGGCAAAGTCATTACCGTAATACTCTTGACGGCAAGCATCTACACCATAATGTCCTTTTACATAGATGTTTCCTCTAAAAAACAAGCATGTAGAACGACCAAAATCAAACTCAGAAAATAATTTTCAGAACTCCTGCTTCCTTCAGCAGAGGCTATAGGGAAGCGTGATATGCATTACAATTACATCACAAAACTATTGCGTTGATGCGTAATTATTGCGGATTTTTTCAGCAAATTCTACTTGAAGAAACGATAGAAACGTTTAGCAAAGACATGTTCAAATATTTACTCCGGAACACATTCCCCATCTACGCCAAGCATTGCTTCTTATTTGCTAGGCAGTAGAGTTCTACAGGCGAATAGGTTTCGGTTCTTGGAGGCGAACTACGCCTTGACATCGGCCACCAAGACATCCATTTCGCCGAAAGTTCTGTTCGCCAGCCAATTTTTCAAAGAACGATTGACGTGATAATTCATAGGAGTTTCTGTTGGTGGATAGGGCGACTGTAGAAGCAGACTTCATTCCTTATTCGGCTTTGGCTGACTGTTCCATCGCCAACAAGTCCGTTGAGATCACTTTATGACTGCACCACCTTCCAACCTTTCTCGACGTAATAGGGCATAATGAAGTGGCATAAATGAAGATGCCTTTCTGGACATATTTCTGTTGAGGAAAATGAGAAGATAAACAAATCCCGAATTCAATATTCAGATTGTTTCAAGAGAAAAGAAGCTAGAAAAAAATCCGCTGCAATTATGCATCAACCTAGTATTTCCAAACAAAAATCGCCTTTCCATCTACTGTTAAGATAGGTCAGTGTGTTTGATCGCGTTTGAAAAAAAGGCTGCACGCTCAAGAAGTGTGAGCGACTTTTCTTAGCACAAACAGAATTCCTCGTGATACCCGGCCTGCCACACTATTTTTGAGAAAAACCATGAAAAATAGCTGTCCCTCACGATCTGCAATGGAGTACCCGCGGTAGAGAATACAGAGCTATTTCTGCGATTATATTAGTGTCGTCGTGACCATTTAGCTCCTTAGGACTACAAATCAGAACCAATACTTCTACGAATTACAGTAAGTACTGCCCTCTTCTCTCAGGAGCAAAAGACAAAAGTAACGAAATGACGGTTCAGAAAGGGATGATTTTGAAAGGAAGTGGCTGATTCTCAAAATTATCGAGTGCAAGAAGATGGCTAATGTGCTGCTACTCAGTTTTCTTTTTTACTAGAGCAGAAAAGTAAAATCTCATGTATTGTCGAATGATAATCACCTGAACGGAGCGGCAGTTCGTACAGAGAAGGTGATTGCATCCTCAGTGCACTGCACCTCAGGTGTACCAACGACCTCATTACCATCCCGAAGACCCAATTGGTAATTTGGTGGCAATACCTGTAATATTGTCTTTTAATGGAGTGTGTTATAGTTGCCTTAAAGCAACGTGATGAAGGTATGACTAGGTAGTACTAATACCATTATCAGTAGTTACTGATGTTACTGGTGGATGCTTTGTCCCTATTTCATGTGCACTTAGAATTCCCCACCGACTCGTTATCCTTGTGAGCCCTACATCCAACTCGAGGACCACTCTGTGAACATATACTCTCAATGAATCCAGTACTAAATTGTGCGTGAAGTATTTTACGGAAAACTTTACCATAACCCAGGTTTTTTTTTGTTGTTTCACAGAATGCTGAATAAAAATATAATTAAAGATCACTCGTTACTTGTACGAGTAAAGTACTTGAGGGGACTTCATGATATTGCAATCGGTTGACCGTACCGAAGTTCATCTTCGACTTTTCTTTGCTTAGGGCTGTGGGCCTTGGAACAAGGTGTGCACAAAATCGCTAAGCAAGGGCTCCGAGGCTAGATGCTTCATATAAGAAGTTCTAATGGGTTTCAGCAGCGCAATGGCCGGATTCGAACATGCAAAGAAGTACGTGTTGATTGTTGGAAGAGAGCTCGGTTTTTGTTCGGACAGATACGAAGAGATAACCAGATGTGTCATTCGTAGACAGCTGTCCCTCTTCCTACATACTAATCTCATAGAAACTTTCAGATATCCTCGGGATCTCGACTTTTGCTAAATTTGAGACCGACACTTTCCAGCACAACTAAACACATTTTCTCCCCGACATGTATTGTAGAGCGGTAGTTCGATAATGAAGCTTTCGCCTGGAAGGCACCCAAATGGGAAGTTGATCCAACATCGTGAATACAAAGGAGCAAGTCACTCTTTGAAAGGTCAAATCATGCTTGCTCACTGAGTTCCGAATTCTCAACGGTCAAATAATGTAGTGAAGGGGAACATGCACTAGTCCCACTCAATCAGAGCTGATTTTTCACAAATTTCATCCCACCGACCTTCAGCAATTCTTCTGGATCGGTACCAACCCAAAACGCTAGCTTGTACACATAGACGTGCGGAAAATAATACAGGATGAGATGAAGTCTTCAAAGTTTTTCGGCGATGATCAGTCCCGTCTGTGAAATGCGTCCCTACTCGACTTCTTTTCAGAATCATGGTGGCTTATTGAAGGCGTGTACGACCTATAAAATCATATGCGGTGCCCCGCCAATGTAGAAGTTAGTGCTTTTATCCTCCCTGACGCATCTGGTACCAATTAGCCTATCCCGGAATGATGGAAAGTATGGATGGCCTGAGTGGATATCGATCCCGAATTCGAACCCGTGACCATGCGTGCCTTATATGTAGTGTGCCTCATAGACTTTGTGTTGGCGAATCCTCCTCCATTAGGGTGTCGTGATGAGACGATGTGTGGTTGCAGAGGAAAGAGAAGGAGGAGAAAAGATGCACTAGAATTTCCAGATCCGTCTCGGAGACCTCCATTATCGAAGCTTTTTCCTGAAGGATGTTCCAAGAAACTTCCTCGACGAAGTAACGCAGGTAGGACGGTGTTGTCTACTTTAACAAGAAGCGGCGTTGTGTGAAAGGTAATTAGTTGTAGAAATTATAGCTAGGAGCGAGGTTACTCTCGTCGTCCACCTATGCAATTGTTCAATATACATTACAACCCTATCATGGTGAAGAATCATGTTCCACATCGCGTAATCGCATCTTCGAAACACCCTTTCCACCCCCTAAAAGGAAGGACCAAGCAAGTCTAATGCGTTTATGGTCCTGTACAATGACCTGCAGCCGGTTACAACTCAGAGCATTTGTCCTCACTGCGAGGCCACCCTTACTCTCCACCTTCATGAGAGCAAAGGTTGTTGAGATCTCTGAAAGCCTGAAGTGATAAAAAGATTCTGAAAAAATAAGGGACAGACCGTGAGCGGTTTGTGACTCTACGGACAATCTCAACAAAAATGGTCCACGCTTATTCTATTTGTCAGGAGCGGAAATTTGATACTTATAGAGATCTTGTTGAGAGTTTATTTCAGTGATCACGATAGGTAACTTGTCGTAGCGTTACAACGCTTTGTTCACAGATGAGAAAAAACCCACACCCACAAAGAACCCGGAAACTTCAAGACAGTTCTATCATTTGCAAGTTGATGCGACGACTTTTATTCGAGCCTGCTTTGAAGATTCCCTCTGATAAGGAAATCTCAGGAAAACATAAAGTCAGTAGAAAATCTTCCGATACAGCAATAAACTTCTGCAAGACATATCAGGTGCGGTCCGTCATGTACGATATAGAGTTCGAGTCACTTCGTTGGGTTTACAGAATGTGAGGAATGGTATGGGACCTGAGAATCGTAAACCGAAAGTGAGGGGTGATTCAAAGGTTATAAAAAGTGCTAAGAAGCATAAAATCGCTAACCTGACAGAGTGCTGCAAACCACAGATGGGCGTGTAATATCAGGTCCTTCATGATCCAATATGGAATGCCGTCCTATAAATTCTTGATTAACATTGTATGCTGCTATAGCTATGCCCGAGTTGAAATCGGCTTCTAAAGGCACAGTTCACAATAATTTTAAGTTACATTTTTCAGGCTGAAAAATGAATGTTGAAGAATTTTAAAAAAATGATGTAGAGGAGTACATCGGTGGCAAAGAAAGCGAGAAAATCCGTCTACTTCAGGCTTTTCAAAAGTATTGAAAGTGGAGGTTCTACGAGGTCAATACGACAGGAATAGCATGTAAGAGGTGTTTGGACGAGTTTCAACTTGCTCCTAACCTGCAAAGAGCTGACTACAGGAAACCATAAATGTCCAGAATTGCCTTTCACTGTCGCTAAGGGTCATGACAAGTTGCTCGATCTTTCCACATTGCTTCTCTCATGAATGGTGCAGCCTCAACAAAGCCGTTGAAACTCGTCCACTAGAGGTGTGGCCCCTCGATACAATCTCTCGTGCCTCATTGTGCCCTATCCAGGACGTTTTTCGCCCAGGGGAATCTTGGAAAGCATTTACATCGTGAACTGTGCCTTCAAGTACATCACATCATCCTCCAAGAGATGCTCCTATCACCTCAGCATCTCACAGATTAATTGTCATGCTCACTCCTACGTACATTGCTGTGCGGTAAGGAGCGAAAAAATCGAAGTATGAAGGCAGAGAGTGAAAGAAAGATCACAAAATATAAATGATACTTCATGTCACTCGAAAAAGAAAGCTAGGAATTCGGCTGGTAATCATTAGTACTCATGGATGGTTGAATAAAGGATGCTCCTGCAATGGATTCGGGAATATGTACATGACCTTAAGGTCTTGAGAGTCTACAAGTATTCTTATGCTTTCTTTGAAAAAAGTCTCACTCTGAACAGAAAAATAAAATAAAATATAAATAAATGACGAAAAAATAGAATAGCAGCATCAGAATAGTTCGCTGCCAGTAAAAGTAGCGCATACTCACAACAAAAAACAAAGTGACTGATTGCTCGTAAAGGACCCATTCTATCTGAAGCTGAGTCGTACTGGGTAGGAGCAGAGTCATTTCGAAAAACTCATTAAGGTCTCAAATGTTAGGCTAAAGTTGGAAATGCCCTGGTTCTGTAAGTCAGGTTCGCGCTTTTCCGTCATAGGGAGGTTCAAGGTTAAGGCTCCGGGATTTATTGAATTAACCAACATAGCTTATCGAGCTCTACATGGTTTTACCTTGAAATCTTGAAAAGCTCCATACTGTAACAACTTGATTTCTATGCACACGCACCATTTTATGTGCACTCAAGACGCTGCAGTAAGTTCGTGGCCAACTCGATCATCAAACCAAACTACATGGCAGCAATGTGTACTGTCGATTCACGAAAATCAATGCTAATAGTTGTGCACATGTCACCCTGAGATCACAGCGTGGCCTTGGTTCCATCTGAAAAGCCGTGGACGGTTTGGTGCGATTCACGTGATCGACCTAGGTTATGGGACCGTATGCACGGGTGTGTAGTGGATCACCGCAATGGGTGCTTTCAGAGTTCAACGACGTGCATTGTTTCATCGACCGACCGACCGAACGACCGGCCGAGCCGACGATGTTGCTGGCTACGTGTTGACAACACTTGAACAGTTGGATACCGCTCACGCCGTCCTGAACAATCTGTCCTGCGTTGTCGACACGAGGAAGTGGTCGTCGGCCGTCGGTAAGACAGTGTATGCCGTTCGACTCTGCACCCAATGGCTTGAAACACCAGCAGGTATTTCTTCAGGACCAAGCAAATGTCTTACTTTCGCCCAAAGTGTGCGCCGATCAGGTGGATCGAACCTATCGCCAGCACATGGATGATTGGCAAGTGAAGAACCTGAGACTGAAAACCGAAGGGAAGTTCTGGTCAAGGGGTAGTCAGTGTATCTCATTTGTTTCAGAGAATAAAATTATTCGCAAGGCAGTGATCTGATTTGTTTTGGTAAGATAAGAGCTTAGCAATCTTTCAAGAGTATGCAGGGTATTGGAAATTAGGGCTACATAGGAGCAGAAACGCTAGCTTGCATTTAATCGGCCACTAAATACGTGTGGAACCCTTTCTACAGTCCTGGATCCCGTCTCGATTCTATCACTGCTCTTTAAGACATGGCCTAACACCTTTCAAAATAGCAAAAATCCCTGAAAGCTCAAAACGGATCTTCTCCACGCTTTTTTGTGTATTGTGCAGAGTTTGAAGTGTCGAGTTCAATGATACAGCCAAATTACACGAAACCTGGCTTTTCACGAAACCAAAACAAAAAACTCGAACATTCAGAATTCTTTACGGCGAATGAACAGCTATGCATAATGTATGGAATTAATATGTCCCAGAAGAAACAAAAAAATGTGATCTAGAATATAACCGACGGTATGAAAACCTGGTGGCACCTCTATATTTTAACGCTCAACTTAGAGAATACCAATATACATAGTACCAGGAAACCATGTCGGACCTCCTCAAAAGCATGACCAACAACTTGAGAAGTACGCATAATTCCCGAAAGGTGTGGTGGGTTGCTAAGCTCAGAGAACAAATAAAGGAGGACACAAGTTTTTTGTCGAACGTTTCTTGGTGGATATGTTGGAACATAAGTAAGGTGCGGTTGAATGTGAATGAAGGATAGGAAAGTTTTTCGCTGGACCACTAAGTCGAGGATTCGGGTTGGCGAACATCATTGACTTTGAAGCCGCCGTTCGTACCACCGAATCATGGCTGGGAATGACTGTCATTATTCGCGCTTTATGCGAATCGAACTCCGGGAAGCGGAACCACTCTGTTGCGCTATATTACAAATTCAATTGAAAGTTGAAAATTAGCCCTCATTCCATGACTCGTGGAAAGTTCCAGACCAACAATCGAAAAACTGTTCTAAGTTTATTTCACAGTCCTTCAAGGAACGATGTCCCACGGAACAAACCCGGTGGAGAACTGAACAATTAATAATTAGCTGATGTTACACGCGGACTACATGGGGTATGCTTTAGGAAATCCCATCCAAGCTCCAGTAGTTTTTTATGAGCGGTTAAGGATACGTGTGGTCAAGCGTTGCCGTGGTGAAGGAATACGCCCTTGCGAACAGCTAGTTCTGAGCGCTTCGGCTCCACTGTTGCCTTCGAACAAACTGTCCAGTTGGGTACAGTATTTTATGGAAATTGTCGTATGGTTGTGCAGCGATGCTCATGACTATTAACCCCCTCCCAGCCCCTCCTGCAATAGAGCATTATCTTCAGCGAACAAATTTTGGTTTTGAGTGGTTAGCGGTGGCTCAATGAGCTCGTTTTTGCTCAGCAATGTGTATAAACCATTTCTCTTCTCCATCTATCATGCGTTTCAGAGAAAGATGGATTTTGTTCTTTCTAGGCAACTAATCACGCACGAAAAGCAGCAAAAACAAGTTCTGCCTACTCAGTACATATGTAAGGTGTCCAAACATAAAGATGACCAATCAAGCGAGTTTCACCAAATGGACCTGAACAGTCGGGTTTGACACATTCAGCCCAAACGCTTCTTTACGAGTTTCCGCCATTATTGTTTCTTCCGCAGAGCTGTCCTCTTGCTTTTGGGATCGAGAAAGGATAAGGTGTCGAAAATACTCTTGATGTCCTCCACTATTACACCTACCCTACACAAACGGAACACAAGCATACTTAACACTGCCGACCGAAATAAACGGGAACGCTCACTCCCCTTGAGAACAAATTATTCTGTGTGAACCAAAGACTTTTGAAATTAGTTGATAAACAAAGTGTATCAAAAATCGTAGGAAATTTTTTGCACATCCCTATATGGATTGTATAAATGTATTTTCTTATTTGTTTACTTTATTAGTATTTCAACATTTGTATATGTTTACACATTGATCCTTTATTTTGTTTTTGAAATGACGACTTAATCATTGTTACCGTCAAACACGTAACTTGCAGTTTATACTATTTTGGATGGAAATAGGGTGAATGGCGAGTTTCGAGATTTGCTCTACAACTTCGAACGGTTCCTTTTCTGTTTTTTATTGTACGGATACGGCTTTTACCGTTTTTTTAATAAGGAAAGGTCTATGCACTACTCAACCACCAACAAAAGCTTAATTTCGAACAATGCTATTTTGTAATCCCATCTATGGTTGGGGCAACTTGACAGATAAGGGGAAGGAGGGTTCCATTCGATCTCATAGACTCGATGAGGCTCGTGTGAAAAAGAAAATATCACTGGTAAATCTGTAAATGCAGAAGGCAAGATGTGCAAATCATAGGTAACGGTAATCCTCATTATTCAGTTGGCTCATTGAGCATAATTTTTAAATTTCCTCTCCAAACTTCATATGAGGGCAGTAAAGAGGTCACTTAACGCTGAGCCGGCATGGCAAAAAACTGGCGCGGCCAAGTGACCTCATCAACACAGCTGGCTAAATAAAATAATATGGGTGCGCGCATGTGCGGTGAGAAAAACACACATGAGGATAGTCAAGAATGGCTCTTATAAGCCGATGAGTAGATGGGAACGTACAACGACAATGGTGCCGATAACGCGTCACATTACCTGAGGATTTCAAAGACCAGGCGCAAACTACTGAAATTCAACTTGCAATTGCGACATCTATTCGCTTACAGCAAGTGTACCCCATAAATCATGAGTTACACGAAAATTATTAGTAGACAACTGATATATTTACGTAGGGCACCCTTGGTATCAGGGCAGAATAAACTTTCTTGATGGATTACAATGTAAGGAAAATGGGAACCTTGCAATAACAGTAACGCATTCAATATAGAGTTCTGAGTTAGTGTACAACGTTGCGACGGAGAGAGGTCACTTGCAGAGCATTGGTCTTGAAATAAATTTCTAGCTCAATTAAAGGAAATGCCTCATTGCCCTTCAGATTAGTTGATTCGGTTTACTTTTTTGCATACTATTAGAATCGCAACCGCAATTGTGTTCTCCCTGGATCGGAACAGTGATTTGCAAAGTCAATAT